GTTTCTGGTTTTGTGTGTGTGTTTCTATAATATGTAAAATGTGATAATCACGCACATCCCTGATGTATACTCCACCTAATTTTGGGCCTGACCCTCAAAGTGTTGTTATCCGTAGATGTAGTAGCCTCATGAATAGTCTGTGTCTCACAATATGACAAACTTTTATATTTGAACATCCATGTACTTTTGGGGAACTGCCCTGTATGATTGTCCCAAACATTTGCTAAAATGATGTAAAAGCCTGTGTTGTTGTTTTTTTCCCCTAGTGATTGCATATGGTCTTAAAGAAAGCAGTATTGTTTAGCTATGTGAATCCTGGTACCTTCATATTTTTAAAGCCAGTTTAGTTTTGCTGCTACAATAATTCACAATCAGTAGAATAAAAAGAAAGTAAACTCACTTTCAACTTTCACACATTACTGCAGTGAAAATTGTGGATTGCCACGGGCACGCAGGGGCGAAAGAAAATGCAGGCCTGTTATTTACCAGGCTGCACGTGGCAATAGACTATTGGTAAGGGATGCAAGGAGAGTATGGGTCACGATGCAAACTGCAGACACACACACACACAACTAAAATTAATCAATTTAAAGTTTTATTGGGGATAATTACAAGGAGTAAGGGAGCAGCGTTTGATTAGCTAATAGAGTTAATGAAACTTAAAACACACAATGACTAAAATATCTACTAACAATATTTATAAACAAAGATGCAGCAATTAGTAATAACTGATACTTACAAATACAAACCAACGCATAACGACCGGCAAACGTAGAAACTCTGTTTGAAACACGTGAGCTGAGAGAGAGGCTTCGAGGTGATCAGGCTCGGTTACGGGTGTACACAGGATACACAGGATTCGTTTTTCTTTCTCCTCTCCCTGCCTGCACATGGCAGGCAGCCCATAAAGTACCAACTATGACATCATAGAAGTGTCATAGGGGACGGGGCCCAAAACCTGTTTGTGTTCGTTTCTGATTGGCACAAGCAAAGTTTACACCAAGTAGGGGAGCAGGTGCCTCAAAGTCTGGCTTCGCCCCCAAAAGGTGAGGAAATGCATATTGCTTTAGAATGCGTGCAACACTGAATGACAAAAGAAGAGGCCAGGGCAATACCGGTATGGGCAAGTTTTACAGGATGCAGACAGGAACTCATCTCAACAAAAATATCTATTGACTGTCTTCTATTTTTCAGTTGTTGTGGGCAAAGATAGAGGAGTAGAGTTAAGGTAGTTTGAGTGACCTTAGCTGTGTATTTCCATACATAGAATCGTAGTAATGTAGGGGTGGAAGGGACCTTGAGAAGTCATCAAGTCCAGTCCACTGTGCTGGGGCAGGACCAAGTAAACCTAAGCCAACCCTGACAGGGTTTTGTCTTAACTTGTTTTTAAAAACCTCCAGTGATGATAAAAACCTCCACAGCCTTCCTTGGAAGCCTATTCCAGTGCTTAACTACCTGTACAGTTAGAAAGTTTTCCCTCAAAAACAATGATATTTCCTAATATCTAACCTAAATCTCCCTTGCTACAGATTAATCCCATTTCTTCTTGTCTTACCTTCAGTGGACATGAAGAACAATTGATCACTGTCTTCTTTATAACAGCCTTTAACATATTTGAAGACTATCAGGTTCCCCCCTCACAGTCTTCTGTTGTCAGGACTAAACATGCCCAGTTTTTTTTAACCTTTCCTCGTAGATTTTCCAAACCTTTTGTTATTTTTGTTGTTCTCTTCTGGACTCTCTCCAATTTGTCCACATCCTGCCTAAAGTGTAGCACACAGAATGGGACATAGTACTCCAACTAAGGCCTCACTAGTGCTGATTGGAGTGGGACAATTACCTCCCTTGTCTTAGATACAATACTCTTTTTAATGCACCCCAGAACAATATCAGCCTTTTTCATAGTTGCATCACATTGTTTATATTGAATTTCTGATCCACTATAATCCCCAGATCCTTGTCAGCATTTAGCCAATTATTCCCCATTTTTAGTTGTGCATTTGATTTTTTTTTCTTCCTAAATTTAATACTTTGCACTTGTCTTTATTGAATTTCATCTTGTTGAATTCAGATCAATTCTCCAATTTGTCAAGGTCATTTTGAATTCTAATCCTGTCCTCCAGAGTGCTAGCAACCTTTTCCAGCTCAGTGCCATCTCCAGATTTTATAAGTATACTCTCCACTCCATTATCCAAGTCATTAATGATAATATTGAATAGTACCAGACCCAGGACAGCTGCAGGACCCCACTCGATACCCCCTCCCAGTTTAACAGCGAACCATTGATAACTACTCTTTGAGTATAGTCTTTCAACCAGTTGTGCACCTATCTTATAGTAATTTCATCTAGACCACATTTCCCTAGTTTGCTTATGAGAATTTCATATGGGACAGTGTCAAAAGGCTTACTAAAATCAAGATATGTCACACTGACTGCTTCCCCCATTCCCTAGGCCAGTAACCCTGCCAAAGAACATTGTAATGTCCATACGTAAGATCAAACTTGAATTTCCAAGATTTCTAATATTTGTATTTTTTTGAGAAAACTACAGTGTTCTGAAATGTTTCTCTCCCATAGTTTATTGACAGGCATTCTTCCAACTTTACTCCAGATTAACTTAATTTTTTGCCTTGGAGTTTCTGTGGATTTTGAATATATTTGGTGAGAGTGCTCGTACTATTTTGGTGTCAATTACAGTCCATTACATTTCTAAAAGGTGTATATATTGGTTATTGCTTCAGTTAACTGATAAACTTTAAAAGCAAAACAACATGAGTAACAGCACTGCAGCATCATGTTTAAAATACAAAAGCTTTATTATAAAAAGTGTACTCCAGACATCATAAGGCATACATGGCCTAGCAGCAAAGACACGAGCCTTAGGAGGGCTAAAATCATGACATTGCTGCCATCATGGTAAATCCCCTAAACAATTGCACTGCAGATTTGTGGCTTGCCAAAGTGCAGTTCAGTAAAGTTCTACTGCAGTACTTTCCAATTTATAGTAGTAATATAATGTCCTGTAGAATATTTAATGGTCGTGTTCATATGCTTTTAGGTATTTATTGCGATGCTAAGGCCTAATTTGGAGAAATGTTTCACAATGACATTCTGTAGTGGAATCCCATTAATGCCTCTTAAACCCTAAAACTGTGGACTTTTCTAGCCTTGCAGCAGAAACCCACGAGTACCTTGGTGCCAGCTTCCGGTTTGTTGACAACATACTGGGAACATGCTAGGGGGAAGATTCTCAGAAAATGGAGCTCTGTACCAGCAATGAGAGCAGTTGCTGGTACTTGAAGTGGCAAGCAAGTGGAAGAGCACGGAGCAGGCCTATTTGCAATGGTAGATGATGAGAGCCCTGCGCGGATACAAAATTTGCATCCACACACTCAATCCACAAAAATGGTCCACAGATATAAAGCAGATATCTGCAGATTTGCAGGGATCTATAGGTGACTTCCAGGCAGGAACAGGGAATGCATAGATGTCAAGAAATGGTCTCACAGAGAAGAGGGTTTGTGGGAAGGCACTGGGGGACTAAAAGCTCTCGTTGTTTTGTGGCACCAGTGAACACACTACAGATAGCTTGAGTTAGCAGCTCTCAGGGGAACCTTACTCAAGGTCTTGCCTCTATTCCCAGTCACGCCACGCAACTTGTGTAGTTACAACAACTGCACATGACTGATGCATTTGTGTGTGGACAGGGGTCAAGTTCATGAGAACACTCAAACTGTACATATTAACTCACTAGTGAAGATAAGTAGAGCCCTGCAAATCTGCGGATATCCGCTTTATATCGCCTGACCATGTTTGCAGATTGCAGATCAGATGCGGATACAAAATTTGTATCCGCACAGGGCTCTAAGGATAAGCACTTGGATTGGGTGTGGGTGATGCTTAATAACCACAAGCAATTGGCAGTCTCTGTTCTTGGGGGACTTCAATGTTTATTAAACACTGTGACACATTACTGGCTGATTAATGTGAGGAAGTATATTCTATTGAATAATTGAATCTACCTGTAAGCATTTCAGAAGCAACTACCATTGTATTAACTAATGAATACTGGAATACACTGCCTTTGCCTTTAAACCAGTGATTTCACTCTTTCCACTTTTAATAAACTGAAATTCACCAGTGAAAACTCTCAAAATAAATCTTGCCCTCCACCACCTCAGACAGCTAATGTAACCCTACTGAAGAGAGAAAAAGCTCTTGTTTCATAAAAAAAAAACTCTATGAAGGGCATTTACTCATTTTGCCTTCTTAAATATGAGATACTGTCATCTTACTTATCAAAAAGAGCTTTCTGTAATTCCAGTGTAGTATGGCTGAGACCAAGAGATATGTTTATTATGCAAAGAGTTGATTAGGTACAAACTACTAGTGTTAAACGGCATAAGGAAGAATATATCAACATGCAAAGTTTTCATTGAGTGGGTTGAGCATGAAAGCGCTTATGCCTGTTTCCATGCCCATCCCTTTCAACAGAACACTTGAGCATAGGTTTAACTGTAAATTGAGGCTTAATGGGACTCCAGCACCTCATTAAATGCTTTACTGAATGCGGATGGATTTAAGGCTGGTTCTCTGGTTTCAGATTTTGCAGGTATTGATTCTTCTTGGTGCTTGGTTCAGCTAAGCCATGTCCCTGAGCCGTCACAAATAACAACGCATTCATTCTCCCTGGTTTTAACCCCCTTGTCTTGCTGAGTCACGCGCGCACACACAATCCGGCAATCCCCGGCGGCGCGCTGCAAAGGGACTCGCCCGCCTTGGGAATCGGGGCATGTGGTGTTGATTAACCACCCTGCGCGGAGGCTGGGAATGCAGCGCCGCGTCGGGGCTGCGAGCGATCTGTCTGCAGACGCGCCGAGGCGGGGGCCTGGCTCGCAGGTGCTGGGGAGGGACTAGGGAGGAGTCGCCGCTAGGGCTTCCCTGCGCACGTGCGCTGCCGGGATGCAGCTCCAGTGTGAGTATCAGCGGCCTCCCCCACCCCGGGGCTGGCGGGCCCAGCGATCGCTGCTCTGCCTGGAGGGCTGCAGCCTGACGGCCGCGGCTAAGCAGCCCCAGTCCCTACTGGGGAGAGCGGGTTGGCGAGTCCGGGTGTAGAAAGTGCAAGGAGGCGGCAGGCGGCTGGCTCTCCTGACTCTGTCCCTTGCACCCCGCATGTCAGGTTGGAGGGGGGCTGAAGCACGCTCCTGCAGAACTGCATATAGCACAAAGGGGGCCGGGTTGGAAATTGTAGGTCGGTGCCGTGGGGGCGATCTCTCCTCGTAGTGCCTCCCCAAAGAAAGCCGGGACCCTCCTTTGCTGACTCTTAGGCGGGGCTTCTGTCTAATTAGCGTGGGGCCAGATGATCGGATTGGAAAATCTGCTTGACGCTGGTTGATTTAGTTCTGTATCTTTGCAAAGGGGCTCATCATCAGCCAGCAGGAAGCTGACATGTTTATCATTTGAGCGATTGAGGAAACAGGGTTAGAGATTGGGAGGAGGGAACAGCAGAGCTGTGCAGTAGATAAACCCTTGGTGACCTGAATTGTGATGACAGGCTGGACTTGTGCAAACGTATTGGGTAAGGGGAGGTGCATTAGCAGCAATCTCTGCCTTGCTCTACAGTAAATCCACAATATTGCTAAGCTTCATCTTTCCTGTGTGGGACCAAGGCTATTTTGATAACACAAAACGTACACAAGGATCCCAGGCTAGATTTCACAATCTAAACAGACAAGACAGATAACAGGTAGGATCAAGGAGGTATTCCTAGTCCCATTTAACAGACGGGGAGCTCAAACTCAGAGATTAAATGATTTTGCCTTGAGTCACATAAGGAATCTGTAGCAGAACTGGAATTGGACCCAGATCTCCTGAGTTCCAGTCCAATGGCTTCTACACAAGATCTCTCAGCGGGGAAGAGAGATTAAAATTAAATTAAATTAATGGAGATATCCTATCTCCTAGAACTGGAAGGAACCTTGAAAGGTTATCAAGTCCAGCCCCCTTCCTTCACTAGCAGGACCAAGTACTGATGTTGCCCCTGATCCCTAAGTGGCCCCTCAAGGATTGAACTCACAACTCTGGGTTTAGGGGGCCAATGCTCAAACCACTGAGCTATCCCTCCCCCCCTAGCATTCTTTGGTATACCTGTGTTCTGGAGAAATTTGGGCTTCTGGTAGTAAATTTGTAACTTTCATGTATTTGAAAACCAGACCAGATTGCTTAATTTAATTTTTCCCCAATGAAATGGTGCATGTATGGAAATGGATTGTTGGTTGCCAAGTGCTGAGTCTGCAAGAAGGCATCTTGACTTGCCCTTGAAACATTGGTATCTGTAAATCTGCTACAGCTTCAAAGCTCAAGCTCTTTGCTTCGCAGTGGTTGCTGGAGGAGTTTGGGGGAAACCTGTTGAGGTGATTCAGATGGGTGATTGAAGTATCAGAGTAAGGAGCTATCGCTCTCCAATAAAACTGGATTTGGAATTGTCTTTTAAAAGGGTTTAAGCCTGTTGGATTGAGGAAGAAAGAGGTGGAGGTAAAACTTGTTTTCTTTTTGTTACTGATTGACAGACATCTGTCAGCACGGCACTGACATTGGAGTCCTGTATCAAGGAGCAAAGGACTTGAACTTTGATGAATAAATACGTGTGTAGCTCCATAAATGCCCATGGAACGTTGTGCAACATACAAAAGACACAATCCCCGCTCTGAAGGACTTGCTTCCGTTCCTTAAAGTGTTACTGAGGGCAGAATTTGTCCCTTTATCATCACTTTTGTATGATTGCAAAACTGATCTCCATTCTTGATGTGTTAGTGGTGCATTATAAAAATGAATTCAAGTCATTTGTGTGATTGGCTGAACTACTTCTGATGCTATAATCCTTTCACCAGTCTACTCATCTCACAGTGGCCTTGAAATCTAACAGCTACTTCTATTGGCTGCACTTCTTGTGATGACTTGTTTTACCTGTTCTGGTGTTTCTACATTACTAGTTGTTCTCCTTCTTATTAGACAATATATACGCTGAGCAACAAAAGTAATAAAAGGAAAGCGGGGGATTCTAGGTATTGTTAAAGAGTAGTTTATACTGTGTTGCTAAGATCTGAGATGCTAGATACATTTGATGTAAACTATAATAGTGCCTCATCAGAACCCTTTTAGTGTCAGTGCAAGGTCCCTAAGACCTTGTATGATATCACCATGTCAGTTTATGCACATTACTGTTGCCTCATCCTTCCTATTGCTATTTGTGCATGTCATCATCTGTTCATTGTCACAACCTTGATTGTGAGGGACTATCTCTTTCCAGCATGTCTGTACAGAGCCTAGAACAATGAGGCCCTACTTGGTACACCACAAACAGTGATAATAGAAATGGTGGAACAATAATTAACAGAGCTTTCTTCCCTCTTACAAAAGAAACAGTTGCTAGTGCTCTGGGTTTGGAGACTGTGACAAACACTAAAGCTAAAATCCTAAGTGTAAAGCCAAGCTCACAAAGGTCAAAAGGCACAGGGCAAAAGAAGGAAATTCTCAATCTGAACTTGCATTCATGGCAGCTACTACAGGATTTAAGCAGGAGAAGAGAGCCCTGAGGGTGCCTTTTGGGAACAGTGTTTCTGCACAGTTTACAGTTCTATTGCCTATGCTCCTGCCTATCCACCAGCTTCCACAGAGCTTGGCTCTGCAGTGTACAGAGAACTCCTGCAGCCCTTGTTGGAGTTTGGGGAGCTCAACTCTTCTGAAAATCAAGCCCATAGAATCCTGCTAGATGGACACTGCCAGTTCTCCCCTTTTCACATCCACCTAGGAGCTATGAGGATTTTTCCACTTCGTGGCTGAGCAGAGCTCTGCATTCACCCTAGCATAGTATCTAACTCATTATTATTCACTTTTTGAATACCACATGTGGGGCTTTGAAACTTTGGATAAGTGAGAGGGGTAGAGGGCCATGCTAGATCTGCTGTTGCTGATGTTTTCCCCGGAGGGGACTGGGAAGCCAGGGAGCAGGGATTTTTTTAACATAAGTCTTTATAAAGAGAGAGAATGCTGTTAGACCATGTGATCTGGTTTCAAACTCCCTTTCTTTGAAAGAACGGTGGAACATAGCATTGCTTATTTGACACAATGGATAGGGTTACCATATCTATTAAATAAAAAAAGAGGACCCTCCATGGGCCCTGGCCCCGCCCATTTCCCCACCCCCAGCCCCGCCCCAACTCCGCCCCTTCCCCGCCCTAACTCCGCTCCCTCCCACTCCCAGCCACGGGGAAAGGGCTGCCCGAGCGCTACCGGCTTCGGGCAGCCCCCGTGCCTCTGGACCCTGCACCCCCAGCCGGGCACTTCCCCTCCCGGGCTCCGGTGGCGCAGGGTCCGGAGGTATGGGGGCTGCCCAAAGCCCGTAGCGCTCGGCTCTTAAACAGAGCCGAAGAGTCGGGGAGGAGCAGAGCCGCCGCGGCTGGAGGCTCTGCTCCTCC